GGATTATGAACAATGATTAACGAGCAAAATATTAAAATAATTAAATTTAGATATGGTGGGGTGGGGTCTACGGAAGTAACGGTAACATATAACATCCCTGGTGTTTTTGAAAATAACACTGGACTGGAATGGACCCACCCATTGTCCAGCTCCAATCTCTTTTATCTACAGTATTTATTTTGCTATTTGGAGTGCATTTTTGCTCATCACTTTAATTATAAGTGTACTCTTACCACCATCCTCAATGCTTGACATGTGTCCATAGACATAACCATAGTTAACTTTTCCTTTATATTTATGGAATCATGATTATACCTATAGACACATGTCAAGCATTGAGGATGGTGGTGAGGATATACCTATAGTTAAAGTAGTGAGCAAAAATGCTCCCATTTCCGCAGTCCCATCCATCCCCTTTGTCATTGAAGATGCTTTTCGGTTATTTCACATCTGATATTCAACTTCTCCCTCCCTCGTATGAAAGAATTGAAGATAATACAACATTAGAGCATTTTCTTCTTATTATAAAATTAAAACATGTGAATTAGTTTAGGTGTCAATCGCTCAATGTTTACCTTGAGATCACAAATTCAAATTTCATCTCACTAATTATATATATATATATATATAAATGAAAACTGTATGACGGTGGGATTATGGGCTAAGTGGTGTGGGGTTGAGTTGGTAAAGGAGCAAGCCAGAGGGCATAATGAGGTGTGTCGTAAGGCCCACTGTGACTGAGAATCTGAGATGGAGGGGGGTTGGTTTGGACTATACCTATGCCTGTATCTATATGACCTGTATCTATATGAGATGAGATGAGAAAGGTCATGATCCTTTCCTGCTTTCCTGCTTTCCTGCTTTCCTCCTTTTGGCTGTTCCCTCTAAGAAAGAAGAAGCAAGCAAAACATCCGACCAATAAATTAAAGTTAAAAAAAGAGTGTACGATAAATGAGATTCTCCCCGCTCTTTCTTTATCAATGTGGCCACCACACCCACATGAGAAAACGGAGGAAAGAAAGAGAAGATTATTGTAGTAATTGTAATGTATCCTCTCCTCCTTTAGTTTGGTTGGAGGAGGACCTTGTGATGTGAGCATGGATGATAAGTATACATCATCGTGAGTGTCATCCTTACACTACACCCTAGCAGACGGATGGATGTAGATATAGTGATATACAATTTGTAGGAGAGGTCATCATATTCATATATAGGTCTGTCTTTGTCTTTCCTGTGTGTTTCTGTTTTTGTCAACCACAAGCCTTGGATATTGGATGAAGAAAATTTAGATAAAGGCGAGGATGAAGCATGTGGAAGTGGGGAAGGTTCCAAAGCGTTGGATTCTCAAAGTTACTTACTACTGGAGACTTCCAATGCATATGGCTTCATTCATATTCACCTCTTTCCCCTCATCTCATGTCCTGCATGTGCTTCTCATTATTTCAGTTTGTTGCCCTGTCACTCTCAACTCAATGCCCTACCCCCCCACCCATGTTTCACTCACATTTCAATGCCCTGTTTCAGTCTCACACACTCAGTCTCAGCTCAAGCATGTCTTGGATCCTTCCTTGGACTCGCTCAACTCAAATTATTATGATGATGAATGCATGTTTTCGGAATGCGTTGGTTATAATTACTAATGATGTTACATTACTATATTCGTATTGTATGTATTCTTCCTTAATCCAAACGTAACGTTTCTCTTCAATTTACTCTTTTTATAATAAAGTGTAACTGGAATTATTGGTACTGAACCAAATTACTCTTTTTGATAATAAAGTGCACCTGGAATTACTGGTCTTTACCATTCACATGTCCTAATTCTAATCCTATGTGTTTTTTTTTATTTATTTGAAGACTTTTTTTATTTAGAGGGCTGATAACATACCAAACTCACACACACTATATGCATGCTAGGACTCAAACCTAGAACCTTTCATGGGAGAGCAATTATTCCAAACCACTAGACTAGTGGGTCCTTTGCCTAATCGTATGTATTTAATTTGACTAAACACGGCTAGACTACCTACTTACCTATCCGATCCAATTAAAGTATTCTATGTGTCACTTCATTTTATGGGACTCTTCCCATCAAACTCGATTCTTTCTAATCCATTCCATATATAGGGAGCCTATTGTAGATCCTAAATTTTAGCTAAAAATGTGATTTAAGGAGCTCATTGTGGATACTCTAAGTTGTCAATTTAAGTCCTACTTTATGGTATTTAAATTTGATCATGAATAAAAAGTCATGTGAAAGAAATTACGGCGACGCTGCAAGTGAGTGTTTGTGTGTAAGTTCACATTGCATTGTTGAGTGGAGGAGCTTTGTTCTACATTTGCATCACAATACAATCTTTTTAATTAATGATGCCAACTGGTGGTTGAATTATAGATAGATAGATTGACTCATTGAATAATGAGCCAACTAAATATATACACCTCAATTATGGGAGGCACAGACAAGCCACCCCCACCTACTGCTTCTAATTACTAAATGCCTTGGTGACAAATGCCAATCATCCACCCACTAATACTATTATTAATCAACGTAGCAGGAACAGAGAAACGTCTCTTTTCACTTTAGAGTTTTGTTATAATATTCTTCTGCTGAACGCCACAAATGCGATAACCGTGTGGTCGAAATTGGGAGGACTGGACGTAACAACTAACTAACTACAGTGGTAGGTAGAAGTGTCTGCCATATCTGGGCCGTCGATTCTAAAGCTTCCGTCCACCTACGGGCTTACATCGACTATTTCTTAGAGCAACTCCACCAGTCCGGGCAGGAGAGGGCCTAGGCCCTGCGAGGAGGTTCCAACAAGCAAAAGTAAGCTTGGGCAAGGCGTGGAGCCCACTAACTCGGGCAAGCCCACGAGGAGAAATGGCCCGACTTGCTGCCTTCGGGCAGCTTACGTCATCGCTGATGCCATGCTGGCTTCAACGCAATAATTCGATTTTTTATTTTTTTTTTACCGTTGACGCATGAATTACATGCACCAACATTTAAAAAAATTGAAAAACTTGCGCTGGAGCAGAGGTGGATGGAACATCCTGTATAAGCACAGCTTTACCCAACGACTCTAAGCCATGTGGTGACTCCTGGAGGGTTAGATCCAGGGTTTGTTCTCCAATCCAACAGCTGCCAATTTTTTGGCTAAAAAAATCCAAATAATTTGTAAAAAATACCAACAAATTCTGATTTTTTTTTTCTCTATAAATACCTACTAAAATTATTCACTTTCCACACCAAATCTTCATACAAGTAACAACTAACTAACTACAGTGGTAGGTAGAAGTGTCTGCCATATCTGGGCCGTCGATTCTAAAGCTTCCGTCCACCTACGGGCTTACATCGACTATTTCTTAGAGCAACTCCACCAGTCCGGGCAGGAGAGGGCCTAGGCCCTGCGAGGAGGTTCCAACGCGCAAAAGTAAGCTTGGGCAAGGCGTGGAGCCCACTAACTCGGGCAAGCCCACGAGGAGAAATGGCCCGACTTGCTGCCTTCGGGCAGCTTACATCATCGCTGATGCCATGCTGGCTTCAACGCAATAATTCGATTTTTTATTTTTTATTTACCATTGACGCATGAATTACACGCACTAACATTAAAAAAAATTGAAAAACTTGCGCTAGAGCAGAGGTGGATGGAACATCCTGTATAAGCACAGCTTTACCCAGCGACTCTAAGCCATGTGGTGACTCCTGGAGGGTTAGATCTAGGTTTTGTTCTCCAATCCAACAGCTGCCAATTTTTTGGCTTAAAAAATCCAAATAATTTGTAAAAAATACCAACAAATTCGGAATTTTTTTTTCTCTATAAATACCTACTAAAATTATTCACTTTCCACAACAAATCTTCATACAAATTCTTCTCCTTCCAATATTATTCACTTTTCACACCCAATTTTCTACCACTAAATTTCATTTGTGTAAAAATACAAATAACATCTTCCATTGAAACCGGAGGGTCGTGGGCACACTTTCGAAGAGGTCAAAATCTTGGTGATGAGGTAAAAAATTTATAATTGCCGTTTTATTCAATTTAATGTCATTCTTTTTTATATTTTCTTGCATTTCCAATTTAATTTGTTTAATAGATTATTCAAGGCAAAACAAAAAAAAAGGAAAACCATTACACATGGTTCCTCAAGTGAACAATGCCCGTAGTTGATTCCCATGGTGCGTTCCGTGTTAGAAATAATGATATTATTACAGCATCCAAAGGAAAATACTCCCCCACGTCGTGATCCGGTGAAACCGACTTCGTCAATGATCGAGTCATCCTTGTACTCGATTTTGTCGGACTATGAGGACAGGGAGTATTTCAATTGTATGATGAGTGAAATGTGAATTTTATAATAAATATGGACATATAGCAACCGAAAATCCTATACAAAAATTTTATCTGAAATTTGAGATGTAAATTTTATAATAAATAGGGACACATGGCAACTGAAAAAATAACACGTGACAATCGAAAATCTTATCCAAATTAATCGTTTAAGTATAAAAAATAAAAGGCAAAAGGTCACTTTCGGTCCCTGTAGTTTGCCATTTTTACCACTTTAGTCCCTGTAGTTTCAATTTGGTCAATTTTGCCCCTGTACTTTCAATTTCGAGCAATTTAAGGACAATTGAGATTTTCTATCAAATTTCTTTAACGTCCGTCATCTTTTGGTCACGTGCCCCTCACGTGGAGGGGCAATTTCGTCAAATCGAGCCCACCTAAAAGCTGCCCTCTCTCTTTCTTCTTCAGACCCAAAAAAAAAATAAAAAAA